CACCCCCCTTCAAATAATCCTGGATCCGCCCCTGTGTTAATACAGTTAGATTGAATAGCAGCTTTATTGGAATATTTTTGTAATGTTTTCGTTTTTAATTTTTCATTTATCAAACTGGCGTTTTCACTCCCTTCCACCTGAAGCTCTGTACAAGTAACATTTTCTGTATTTTAACATAAGCAATATTATTGGTGTTTATGCTGTTAGGCATTATATATTATTATTTTGTGCAGTTATAAGCATTATTGCATCAAAATGGACAAGATGATATATTTTGTGCATCTTTATTTTGTGCTTTTTGTCTGTATATTTGACAGCTTTGCTGTCAGTTTTGTATACTGTTGACAGATATTCTGTTACAAGATATGTTCCTTCTGACATTCAGCTGTCATGATTTCATATATCTATAGGTCCATTTTCTGGGTATCATCAGTTTGATTTTGAGAAAGTTCATTTTATATGCCATGGCTGTCAGCAACACCCATTTGAAAACCTTGGTTCACATACTGTCTCTCATCCTCTTCATGGAACTGAGTACTTCTCTGGAGTTCAAGTTCAGTGTATTGCTGCTGAGGTTCCTGTTCTCCTAACTGTGCATAGGGATTTTCACCACCTCTGTCCTCCTGATTGCTGTGGGTTTGGTCAGAGTTGTCTGAAAATTGGGGTAAACGTTGGTTCACGTTTTGTCTCTCGTTCTCTTCGTGGAACTGAGTACCTCTTCTCTGGAGTTCAAGTTCAGTGTATTGTTGCTGTGGTTCCTGCTCTCCTAACTGTGCATAAACATTTTCACCACCCTCACTGCTATCTTGGTTGCCATGGGTCTGGTCAGAATGGTCGGGAGATTTGGGTAAAGCTTCTTCAGATCTTTTCTCTCTACAATGGTAAAGAAAAAAATCCTCAGATACAGCTGACTTTTATAAGATTATTTTTTAATGACGTAAATGTTTTACTTCTTTAGACCTTTTTGGATATGTAAAAAAGCAGACACTAAGACTGGGTTCCCATAGTTAGATCGATCCATCTGAATTGACCTAACTCTGGGGAGTCTCACTAAATTGCTATCAAATATAAGGCTTAAATGTCTGTCACCTAGGAGGCAAAGATAATTACCCCCTTACAGCTTTACCGGGTCTGACAGACATTTAAGCCTGTCATGTTGACAGTACCCTAGGTTCTAGATTCCAGTATTGCCAGCTCGATCTTGATTTCATATATAACCCATATCAACAATACCGGCTCTAGTGATCAGCGGCCATGTTACACTTCCGCCAATCAAATAGAACTGCTCCGCAGTGAATCTGCAGTTGAATGTCATCAGACCAAAATGAAACGTAAAACAGATTTAATTCTGCTTTATTTAATTTTATTTGCTGTATTTAAGATGAAAAGTGAAAAAATAAATAATATTCTTCGAAGTTCGAACAGAAAAGATATATCCAATGTTTTTGTATTTTTTGCTTATCATAGAACATTTAGTCCTGAGATGTACACGTGCGCAATATACGTGCTTGCCGTGTGCCAAATTTGACAGCTACACTGTTTGCCCGATACCACTATAAGGGCTGCGCAATGGCTACACCAAAATCAGTTTTTAAAGCAGAATGTTGCTTCTATTGTGGCACTGACCTTCGACTGCAAGATATTTTCAATTCAAACTTCGTCAGGCACTTTGCTTCTTGTCTTGTCTGCACGAGATAACTTCAGCGCGAGGCGGGAAAGGCAGCTCCGGGTGGAAAAAACCTATGACATACGAGACTTATGACTTCCAAATATGGATCCAGGCGGACACAGCTGTGACGTGTGACTTCCAAAGATGGAAGCGCCCCAGGCAAAATTCTGAAGAAGAACGCCCTCAGATTGTCGCTGTTCGTCAGAGCTAGTAAAAGCGACTCCATCACAAGGTATATTTAAGCTAGTTAGCTTTTACATTGCTCTGACACTCAGGGTAGTTGACAGCAATTTAGTGAGACTCCCCAGGGAGATAGATCGATCCAAATATCTGTGGGAATGGTCTCAAAGTCACGTGACCTATGACACATATGTATAGGGCTTTGAGGCTCAGCTTGCCATTTTAGTCTTGTTTGCAACAGGACTGAGGAAGAGTCTTGAGGACTAGCACACATAATTTTGGTTCTGAAAACATTTCAGGTCTTTGGGGCCCTTCTCGGCTCCTGTTACAGATAAAGTTTTTAAAGAAAGTGAAAAAGTTCAAAGTTCAATTCACCTGAATATATAGCAGACAGCAGCTATATTAAAAATCAGCAGCACCAGTGATATGGCTCCCAATGTGCCTCCTATGCCAGCACCTAAAATAGTGGATATACTGTGCTGTAGAAGACTCATATTGTTTTTTTTTTAATATATATATATATATATATATATATATATATATATATATATATATATATACGTGCAAGTTTCATAAACAAATCAAAGTCCACTCTTGGTTTTACTTTTTATTGCTACTTCAATCTATCAAGGCCCCATTAAGACCTTTATAATCAGTCAGAGACGCTAAACCAGACAACCAAGAAGAATAGTCCGGATTATTCAATTTATTGATGGGATTATCACATTATACCGCAAAACGGATGAAAACACCTGCTCAGAGTCAAATTATGTCAAAGTCCACTCAGGGTTTAACTTTTTAGTGCATTTCACCATGATTCCCATCAAACTCATCACAATCAGGAATTTCTCTGTTATTATAACTTCTAACTGATGTATGCAAATGATGTAACGTTTTTGTTAAGGGAATGCAGTAAAAATTGATCTCGGCGGGCCGCGGGGACAACAAGCGTGTGCGAGGGGGGGTGTGAAGTGGTTTGAAATTTCTTTTGGAGGGGGGCATTATTATTTTTTGCAGAAAGTTTATCATAAAAGAAAATTGTATGCCATGTACGTACTATACATATATGTTCGATACTAAGGGGTAAGAGTGCATATGCAAGTATAACCCTATGATCCCCAGGGTGTGGGTAGTTCTGGAGTATGAATGATTCTATTTTTTTAACAATGACAATTTGCCACTTATACTTCATATTGCATAGCAAGGAAAAACAGTAACAGCAGCCTTGGTGTGGCTGCCCTAGGCATGGATGTCATTTTTTTCTTGAAAATACTAATTTTATCAATGCATGCATTATGGACTTATCTCTTAATAGATTAATTGTTACAATATTTTTTCTTTTCATTTATAGTCTAATTAATTTATTTATTATATAATTGTTGAATTATTGTATTAGTTATCTAGCCAACGTGAGGGGGGGTGAAGGATTGAGAGGGGGGGAGACTGCCGCAGACAGATGTCCATGGGGAGGGGTCGCTGGGGTGGTGGGTGATTTCTTAATTTTTTTACATGAAGGTTGTCGTAGGTGAATCTTCCTTGTAAAATCTAATAAACTATGCTCTGTGTCAAGGAACAATAATAATTATAATATGACAGATCATTAGCCTTTAGGGTGGGGCTAGACTTACATGTAGGCGTGGCTGAGGTGAAGCACAGGGGTATGCAAACTTAACATTGACAGCATCTGCTATTAATTTTGTACTAATACTCATATGTAAGACAACTATTCTACCAAGAGTTAGTCTTGTTCATGAATAAAACCTAAGAAACATGTATTTTCTAGCATTAACCGTCAAAAAATGCTTCATTTTGCTTAATTCACACGCACATAACTCTGCTTAGGAAAATGCTAGAACCCAAATTTAAACTATGGTTCAATGCCCAACTTCTATACTTAATATGTGCCAAATTTCAAATGTCTGTGACAATATTGAGGGGATGAAAAATGATAGGGGCAACTTTTTGACTCATTTTTGAAAATTGCGCCTGAAAAAAGGACAAACATGGTGTCACCAAAACTTGAATAACTTTTGATCTAAATAAGATAGATTAAAAGTTTAAATTGATTATTCATTCTCAAATGTGTGGTAAATTGATTATTCATACTCAAATGTATGGCTTTCTGTGTACCAAATTTCAAGTCTCTAGCTCATTTAGAAAAATATCATGTGTGCACCCTACCTTCACAGTCTGATCTTCTAAACCTTTCTGCAAGAGCAAATATAGAGAAGTTAAAATGACACTGATGATGATGGATTGTTCTAAAATATGATGTGGAACATTTTTTAACTCATATTTTCTATAAAGTGTGCACAAACTCTTATAAGTTGTTTGGATAAAGTTTTAGGAAGTCTGAACTTTATGAAGGCAGTAGATAGTTTGAACAGATTAATTAAGGTAAAGGTATCAGATAACTGTGCAGAAAATATCTCAAAATTAAGGAATTCCCCCTGTCCAACCAGATTGCAACTCTCCAGATATAAATACTAACAACAAATGTCTGTGTGGGCACCATCCACATGTCACGTAAGGGGATGTTATAAGATTTACATTCTGTTTATTACTATACATATATTCTATTGCACCAACCTGTGGCTTTTTATTCATCAATCAGATGCATGGTGTCTTTTTTTTTATTGGACTCACCTGTATTCTGTGCTTCAACAGGTAAATTCATTCTAGTGCTGAAACCCATGGCAAAAATGAAAAGAAACATGGTAACATCCATGTTCCACAACACACAGTGATCTTCTTACAATAAAACCTTGAAGAAATGGAGTGTTTTCTTATACGTCCAACAGCCTGTGCTCTTGTAGACTTTGATTTACCTTAGGTGGATATTGTTGTCTCCACCTGTTTCAATTGATTCAGAGGGTTATTGTACCTGTAGTCAATGTCAAATGACATTTTGAGGTTACTTCCTGGTTGGACTGTTTGGCATAGCACAAAATAGAACATAATTCAATCAAAGTTTAAGTGGTTTGTCATTGTTGTCGTCTGTGCAGGTTCTGTACATTTATAAGCTTTATACAAGTAGCTGGTCTGTTTTGAAGTACCAGTTTATATGTACAGACACAGATGTCTGTGCCTTATTATCTTCCAACTGAAGTGGGATGATTCATATCATGTTAATACAGCTTGATTCAATAGCAGCTTTATTGGACTATTTTTGTAATGTTTCCTTTTTTCATTTTTCATTTTTCAAACTGACGTGTTCAAGAAATGACTTTTCACTCCTATCCACCTGAAGCTCTGTACAAGTAACATTTTCTGTATTACCGCGTAAGCAATAGTAATGGTGTTTATGCTGTTAAGCATTATATATTATTATTTTGTGCAGTTATAAGCATTATTGCATCAAAATGGCCAAAATGATATATTTTGTGCATCTTTATTATGTGATTTTTGTCTGTACATTTGACAGCTTTGCTGCCTTGTATATACTGTCCCATACAGTTGTGTATACTATTGGTAAATATTTTCGTAATATAGATATGTTCCTTCTGACATTCAGCTGTCATGATTTCATATCGGTCCATTTTCTTGGTATCATCAGTTTGATCTTGAAAAAGTTCATTTTATATGTCATGGCTGTCGGCAACACCCATTTGAAAACCTAGGTTCACATACTGTCTTTCATTCACTTCATAGAACTGAGTACCTCTTCTCTGGAGTTCAAGTTCAGTGTATTGGTGCTGGGGTTCCTGTTCTCCTAACTGTGCATAAGTATTTTCACAACCTTCTCTGTCATCCTGATTGCTGTGGGTTTGGTCAGAGTTGTCTGAAAATTGGGGTAAACGTTGGTTCACGTTTTGTCTCTCGTTCTCTTCGTGGAACTGAGTACCTCTTCTCTGGAGTTCAAGTTCAGTGTATTGATGCTGGGGTTCCTGCTCTCCTAACTGTGCATAAGTATTTTCACCACCATTTCTGTTAGCCTGATTCCTGTGGGTTTGGTCAGAATGGTTAGAAGATTTGGGTAAACGTTGGTTCATGCTCTGTCTTTCATTCTCCTCTTGTAATTGAGTACCTCTTCTCTGGAGTTCAAGTTCAGTGTATTGTTGCTGTGGTTCCTGCTCTCCTAACTGTGCATAAACATTTTCCCCACCCTCACTGCTATCTTGGTTGCCATGGGTCTGGTCAGAATGGTCGGGAGATTTGGGTAAAGCTTCAAATCTTTTATTTCTACAATGGTAAAGAAAAAAATCCTCAGATACAGCTGACTTTTATAAGATTATTTTTTAATGACGTAAATGTTTTACTTCTTTAGACCTTTTTGGATATGAAAAAAGCAGACACTAAGACTGGGTTCCCATAGTTAGATCGATCCATCTGAATTGACCCAACTCTCTGGGGAGTCTCACTAAATTGCTATCAAATATAAGGCTTAAATGTCTGTCACCTAGGAGGCAAAGATAATTACCCCCTTACAGCTTTACCGGGGCTGACAGACATTTAAGCCTGTCATGTTAACAGCAATTAGTGATACTCCCCAGGGAGATAGATCATTACAAATATCTGTGGGAATGATCTCAAAGTCACATGACCTATGACACATATGTATAGGGCTTTGAGGCTCAGCTTGCCATTTTAGTCTTGTTTGCAACAGGGCTGAGGAAGAGTCTTGAGGACTAGCACACATAATTTTGGTTCTGAAAACATTTCAGGACTTTGGGGCCCTTCACGGCTCTTGTTACAGATAAAGCTTTTAAAGAAAGTGAAAAAGTTCAAAGTGGAATTCACCTTAATATATAGCAGATAGCAGCTATATTAAAAATCAGCAGCACCAGTGATATGGCTCCCAATGTGCCTTCAATGACAGCATCTAAAACAGTGGATATACTGTGCTGTAAAAGACTCAAATTGTTTTTTTAATATATATATATATATATATATATATATATATATATAAGTGCAAGTTTCATAAACAAATCAAAGTCCACTCTTGGTTTTACTTTTTATTGCTACTTCAATCTATCAAGGCCCCATTAAGACCTTTATAATCAGTCAGAGACGCTAAACCAGACAACCAAGAAAAATAGTCCAGATTATTCAATTTATTGATGGCATTATCACATTATACCGCAAAACGGATGAAAACACCTGCTCAGAGTCAAATAATTATGTCAAAGTCCACTCAGGGTTTAACTTTTTAGTGCATTTCACCATGATTCCCATCAAACTCATCACAATCAGGAATTTCTCTGTTATTATAACTTCTAACTGATGTATGCAAATGATGTAACGTTTTTGGAAATGCAGTAAAAATTGATCTCGGCGGGCCGCGGGGACAACAAGCGTGTGCGAGGGGGGGGGGGGTACGGGGTGACGTGAAGTGGTTTGAAATTTTTTGGGGGGGGGGCATTTTTTTTTTTTTTTTTTGCAGAAAGTTTATCATAAAAGAAAATTATGTGCCATGTACGTACTATACATATGTGTTCGATACTAAGGAGTAAGAGTGCATATGCAAGAATAACCCTATGATCCCCAGGGTGTGGGTTATTCCGGAGTATGAATGATTTTTTTAACAATGACAATTTGCCACTTATACTTCATATTGCGTAGCAAGGAAAAACAGTAACAGCAGCCTTGGTGTGGCTGCCCTAGGCATGGGTGTAATTTTTTTTTCTTGAAAATACTAATTTTATCAATGCATGCATTATGGACTTTTCTCTTAATAGATTAATTGTTACAATATTTTTTCTTTTCATTTATAGTCTAATTAATTTATTTATTATATAATTGTTGAATTATTGTATTAGTTATCTAGCCAACGTGAGGGGGGGTGAAGGATTGAGAGGGGGGGAGACTGCCACAGACAGATGTCCATGGGGAGGGGTCGCTGGGGTGGTGGGTGATTTCTTAATTTTTTTACATGAAGGTTGTCGTAGGTGAATCTTCCTTGTAAAATCTAATAATCTATGCTCTGTGTCAAGGAACAATAATAATTATAATATGACAGAACATTAGGGTGGGGCTAGACTTACATGTAGGCGTGGCTGAGGTGAAGCACAGGGATATGCAATCTTAACATTGACAGCATCTGCTATTAATTTTGTACTAATACTCATATGTAAGACAACTATTCTACCAAGAGTTAGTCTTGTTCATGAATAAAACCTAAGAAACATGTATTTTCTAGCATTAACTGTCAAAAAATGCTTCATTTTGCTTAATTCACACGCACATAACTCTGCTTAGGAAAATGCTTGAACCCAAATTTAAACTATGGTTCAATGCCCAACTTCTATACTTAATATGTGCCAAATTTCAAATGTCTGTGACAATATTGAGGGGATGAAAAATGATAGAGGCAACTTTTGACTCATTTTTGAAAATTGCGCCTGAAAAAAGGACAAACATGGTGTCACCAAAACTTGAATAACTTTTGATCTAAATAAGATAGATTAAAAGTTTAAATTGATTATTCATACTCAAATGTATGGTAAATTGATTATTCATACTCAAATGTATGGCTTTCTGTGTACCAAATTTCAAGTCTCTAGCTCATTTAGAAAAATATCATGTGTGCACCCTACCTTCACAGTCTGATCTTCTAAACCTTTCTGCAAGAGCAAATATAGAGAAGTTAAAATGACACTGATGATGATGGATTGTTCTAAAATATGATGTGGAACATTTTTAACTCATTTTCTAAAAAGTGTGCACAAACTTTTAAAAAGTCGTATGGATAAAGTTTTTAGAAGTCTGAACTTTATGAAGGCAGTAGATAGTTTGAACAGATTAATTAAGGTAAAGGTATCAGATAACTGTGCAGATGATATGTCAAAAGTAATGAATTTCCCCTGTCCAACCAGATTGCAAAGATATAAAGACTAACAAGAAATGTCTGTGTGGGCACCATCCACATGTCACGTAATGGAATGTTATAATATTTATATTCTGTTTTATTACTAACTTTTATAATTTATGTATATTCTATGGCACTAACCTGTGGCTTTTTATCCGTCAATCAGATGCATGTTGTCTTTTTTATTGTACTCACCTGTATTCTGTGCTTCAGCAGGTAAATTCATTCTGGTGCTGAAACCCACGGCAAAAATGAAAAGAAACACGGTAATGTCCATGTTCTTCTAACACCCTTATCTTGAAGAAATGGAGTGTTTTCTTATATGTCCAACAGCCTGTGCACTTGTAGACTTTGGTTTACCTGAGGTGGATATTGTTTTCTGGGCTGTTTCAGTTGAGTTAGAGGGTTATTGTACTTGTAGTCAATGCTAAATAACATTTTTTGGTTACTTCCTTGTTTTACTGTTTGGCAAAGCACAAAATAGAACATAATTCAATCAAAGTTTGAGTGGTTTGTCATTGTTTTCACCAATGCAGGTTCTGTACCTTTATAAGCTTTCTACATGTAGCTGGTCTCACCTTTTGTTTCTACTCTTTGTCTTACAACCAAAAACCATATCTTAATTAAGATTTTGAATATTACAATAAAAAAAAACTTCAAGTTATTATATCCACTTTTAATTTGCTTAAACCATCCCTAAAATAGAAACATTGTTGATTTCGAATATATAAAGTTAAATATATAAGTTATTATAAGTTATAATGCACTTTTAATTCTTTTCTCAGTTATTTCACTCCAGGTTTAACCTTGTGGAAGTCATCAGTGGATGCAGTCTGTGACATCATAGAGGGGGTTCAGGAGCTGGTCAGGAGGATAGCTCAGGCAGAGACAGCAGGGTAAACTAATGAGGGGGGGGGGGGGGGCACCCTGAGTGTCAGAGATTACTGGAAAGGCAGCTCTGTTATAGACAAGCCTCTGATACTTCTAGTACCTGAAGTCTGGGCACCAAACACAACCTTATTACCAGATTATTTATTTAAAAACTATGCTTGATGGATGGTGGTCATCCTAAAAAAATAAAATAAATAAGAAGATTAATTAATTTTAATTAATTAATTAATTGATGAGTGAATAAATAAATAAATATTGATGAAATAGAGGAATGGGTAAATAAGATGAAGGAACATAAAATGAGGAAATATTTTTCATTAAAGGTTTTGAAAAGAAATTAGTTAATTTATTAAAACAGAAAATATTTGCATTAATAATTTAACAATTTATTAAAGCAGAAAAGATTTGCATCAATAATTTAACAAAAAATGAAATGGTGTACTTATGTCTTCCAGCTCTACTGATCAGCTGCAATCAACTGGGAAAGTTTGGGAGAGCTGCAATGGCATCAAAGATATTCCAAAAGGTAGATTAATAAGTATCAAGGTGTTTTGATAAATTTTAGCATTTGTCTTCTACTAGAATAAAATATCAGATTCTCCTTTTGTAGAAACTGCCTGATTTTTAAGTAAGCAGGTAAGCAATACCAATTTCTGGACAATTAAAGTTAAAATAGAGTGCTTGCTTTTTATTGTTCACTGCCAAGAGTAACAAAGAGAAACATTCAGGAAAAATTATTTATTTAAATTATAAATTTCCTTTTTCTTAGTTTTTAAATGACCTTAATTTATTAGTTTGTAAGAAGATTTTCAGTATCCACATTTCTTTTAAAAATGTTTAGAAAAAAATACAAAATGAATTGTACACTTTATGTACAGATTTTACATAAAATACAAATGGTGATTAATTTCATTATTCTATGCATCTTACAGATAATTAAGGATTTTTTCTTTTGCCAGATAACAAAGCAGCAGTGATTGCAGTGGTAACAGGTGCTAGTAACTTGGTAAAAGATGCTTTAGAAGAACTGGAGGCAGTAAGTTCTACAGAGATTTTAATCTCATTTAAAAGTGACATGAAATAATTTTTACATTATTGAACTGAAGCTAAAAGTAATTTAATTTCTCAAATTCCTTTCTTTCTTAATAGCCTGGTGAAGAGCCATTATAGAAAAGGTGTCTGTGTTTTTCTGGTCCCTGTGACAAGATAACCTGACAACAGTTGAGGGGAAATGTTTGATACAGGAGAGATTACTGGATGAGAAATAAGGTCACCTTGACCTTTTCAGTGTCACAAATTCACTTTCACCTGGGGAAGGTGATATCCTCCCTCAGTATGTTACCTTGTTTCAAATTGTAATTGAAATTTTATTACTTAGGACAGAAGTAAAATTATTTATTTCCCCACTGAGGTGAAATATAATTGTATTGTTATGTTACAGGCTGTGGAAAATGAAGGTCGCTTGGATGACCTTGACCTTGGTGATGATGACAGTGATGACCTTGAGGAAGAAACATGGTCTGAGGCAGACAAAAGGACAATAGCACCATGCATAGGACTTGTTAAAGCGGTAAAAGCTTGCCTGAAGAAGACGTCAGTTGCTGTGAGAAGTAACGGAGAATGTGTAACTGTGGCACAGATCACAGAACTGGACAAATTAGCAGATGTTATGAGGTTAACGAGTCCCGCTGTGGATGACTTTGTTTCTGGATTGTATGCTCCATTGGATCTTGAAATGGCAAAAGACAATGTATGTGTAATAAAGCGTTAGTTGTGTTCATTGTATAGTTAAGTATGTCAGCTGGTATTTTTTCAAGTTATTTGCATGATTTTTCCTTCATGTTATTTTTTAAATAAATGAACTTGTTTTAATATTTTATGTTGATGCCCATTAAATAAAGTTGTATGTTTTTCAGAATTTCCTTTTTGAACTTATATATATTTTACCTATTTTATATTTTGCTCATAAGGTCAACTTTTAAATGTCATCTTTGGTTTTTGTTCTGTAGGCAAGAAAACTGGCAGATATTGTATTGGAGCTTTTAGAGCTGTCAAAGTAAGTGTAAGCAAGTGTGTGTGCACATGTCAATGTACGTGTGTGTGTGTGTGTGTGCATGAATGCATATGCCCACATGTGTACCAACAGTGTCATTGGCATTTTAAAAATGTATGAATTAAATAAGACAGGAAAATACTAACTAACAAATTTACAGACATTTAAGAAGTGGTTGTTTCAAGAAATGTGGCCATCATGATGTGTTATTACTTACTGATATTCTCACTTTAATATATACTGACAGTCAATGAAAATGCATCATCTATTTATCATATAGTATTCAAGTTCCTTTGGCACATTAAGAAAATACCATTTTTCGTGTGAAATATGTGAAATATAAAATAGTGGTCAGCCCACTCTCTTATGACCAAACAAGTGCATTTGTACTCGTTTATATGGTTGGAATCGATTCTCGGTAAAAAAGTACTAGAAAGTTTTCTGATGCGTTTTCATTGACTATCAGTATATGAAAAATGTGGATTAAAAATTTGATGAATAATGTTGCACTGTTGACTGTATATCTTGTTGTTGGTGTATTAAACCATAAACTATATAATTGCCATCAATTTGTTAAAGTAAGTAATTTTCTATCTTTAGAATATTTTTGGTGCTTCAAGTTGCACTCCTCAAATATTATGAAATCTGGTTCCTGGTGGTACATGTCAAATATGGTAGATGTTTGTTCTTGTTTCTAAAGCTAAACTTCTTCATTTCAGGACTTCTCACGTGACATTTGATGAAGATGTACAGTGGATCACTTTTCTGAAAAATGCAGTTCAACATAACTTGGAGAAAATTCAGAATCCAGTTAATTCGTAACCCGGTACAAAGGATGATAAATAAGTAATAAAGGGCTCGTACCACCTAAACCTTTGACTATTTCATTCTGGATGCAGGAAGTCATTTTATTTTATTTTCTCTTTTTTAAAGGGGGCATGTCCTTGTGAGTATTGATTATTAAATTCATATGGTTTAGATTATAGAGCTTATTTGGTGCACCAAACACAAAGTTGCGCATAAAATGTATTGAATTCCTATTGTGATGTACGTATTAGAATTGATATTGTTTCAATGGATTTCATGTACTTTAGTTTGGTTATAGCCTGTATTTATACGGCATCAGAACCAATAAAGAATAATAATAATATAAGACAAGTTCTGTATCCCAGCTCCCCAGGGATGTGAAGACAGCTACATCCAGGCTAAACCAAGGACAAAATTTTAACCAGGCATAACGTCATCTAATGTAAACTGCACAGAGACTTTATTGAGTGGTATAGTAGACTTTACTTTTCATATTGTTTTAATTAAAATGTAAACAGCACAGGTAGATCCAGAACATTGTGTCTATGGGGGGAGGAGAAGCAAAAATATATTAAGAGACAGAAGCAGGGCTTTTATTTATTTATTAATTTATTTTATTTTTTGAGGGAGATTGGACATGCCTGGGACCCATAACTCGAAAGCATTGCGCATTGTGACAGAGCGCAAGCTTCTCGATTCCATAACTCGTCCATATACTTACCCCATATGCTCGAAATAAAAGGTGATATCCCTTTGTGCAATTTGCGATGCTTTTGCGTTATGCATGGAGCCCTGCTCTCCTCCCCCTCCCCCCCCCCCCATGGGTCTGCCCTTGAACCAGGCAAAATGGCCTGACTTAATTAGCATGAAGTAAAAAAATACACTTGGTTTAGCTGTCCCCCCCCCCCCACCATCCCCAACCACCCTCAGAGTACGTCTGAGAGGATAGCAGAATCTCATAACTACCCTTAATGTTAGCTGTTCCAACCTCCAGCAGTTACAGAATCTGTTGAAATCTTTTATCGTAATTTGTAACAGCTGGTGAGGTCTCTGGTAAAAAATAGGAAACTAATCTCAACTATCAACATGCCTCTTTGGTCCTGATATTAGAGAGGAGGGTATTCAATGTCCTCTGAAACTGAGGGTGGCTGTTTAATTTGTCAGGTACCCGTTTCAAATTCATGCATGCTTGGAGACCAAATTGTTTGTTCTGCCTTTGTGAACAAAGCGGTTTCATTAAAATTTTCTTCAAAGTAATTGAGGTCCCAGTGGCATTGTGCCTTGATATCCAACAACTGTTGTGTCGCATTTGGGTATTTCATTAAAAATTGCATTTACTGAAATTGGTTTTAACTTGTGCACTATAGCTGCATGGGTCTATTTTTTAGTTGCAAGGCAAGCTGGAAATGTGTGGTGTTTGACAATGTTTGTATTTTAGCAACTTCAAAAAAGAAAATAATGAATGCGCGTTTTTTCACTTTTCAGTTCTACGTGTCAGTTATTAGAGGCTGTTTACTAGTAATCAACTGGCACATGTATGAAAGATATTACGTAAAACATAGTAAAAAGAGAAGAAAAAACTTGGGATTAAAGTGAAAATGAAAATGACTTTACTCTGTGCCCAAATAAGAGACATGAAATCATTTCCCTATACAACAACAAAAACATGATCAAGATTTTTATATGTTACACAAATTAATTTAAATTTAACAAAAACTAGAATTAAAAAATATAATTGACACACCTGTTTAACTGTATCATTTAAAAGAAATTATTTTTAAAAATATGACTTTCTCAAATCTCTTTGACAAGTCGAGTTATTTTTATTTTCCACAAAACGTAAATGGTCTAAACTGTTTAGTACACTCCCTTTTTCGCCTCCAGGAATTGGGTCAAGAATCCTTACGCTGATTGGTCAGATAAATTAAGGATACCGAACACGTATGTCACTTATGTCAAAGTTTTTGCACCGATTTTTACTACAATCTGAGTCATTCTATAGCAAATATGCTAGTAAAGGTCGACATATATACATGATACCCTGCTCCTTTCTTCGGATGAAAAGGGAAATAATTTATTATACAACTAGCTCCAAAGGGAAAGCGTGGTTTCATCCTTGCATTTCTTGTTACGTGCGTTGAAGTACTATTTTCTAAGGGCATATCAAGTTTCAAAGAATAACCTTGCCCTATTCTTAGACTCGTCAAATTGTACATGAGCTGGGAATATTAAATTGCTCTTGAAATTCACAGAATCAACACAGTGATTAGATTATTTGGCAGTGGTCAGACAAGAATAGACCTGCTGAGCTTTCAGTGACCTCAACGAGACCTTCTATTAGCGCATGCGCAAGAGTTTTAAATGTCGGCCAAGAAGACCTAGAATGTGCCGGTGATTTCTGTTGATAATCTTTAAGTTTATGTCCGTTTCTTTTATATTGGCAACTGTTCGGACGGGTGAATGGATCCAAGAATTGGATGGTCTCCGCCAGAACAACTTGGACCAGCGCACCAGTTGTGGACTAGATTGTGGGAAACGCACCTGATCAAGATGGAAAACCTGTATCTCAACAACGCCAATCCAAATTTGGAGCAGAAAACTCAGGAGTACATTCCGTTAGAATTTAACACAAACAACTACGACCAAAGAGACCACAGTTCATCTAGAACAAATAATATAAAATATCAAGATTTTAGGACGAGAAAGAAAAAGGATAACAAAGCTAGTACATTCGGTCTCAATCATTCATCAAACACTCAGTTGTTGGATAATGGTCATTTGACACCCTGGATACCGAGGGGAAGAAATTATTCTCCTGGTGTGATTGGGTTAGTATTTCACATTATGGATATAAAAATTATCTTTATAGATCAACGGGGTGTGATAGTAAAGATCTGAGATAGCTGAGGTAAGTAGAAAAACCCAAGAGAATTTGGCCGAATCATGTCATCAGCGTCGCGGTTAGTTATGCAACTTGGGACCCAGTTAAGCAGCTATTATCTTTCTTAACCACAGTAGCTGCAGCCAGGTACTGGTGTACCACACGACTTGTTTTCTCTCTCAGTGGATTAACATCGTTTCTTTGTGATTAACACCTTCCCTCTATCAGTGTTATTTAATTCCTGATTTTAACTTTTTGATCATGAGCAAAATCTTTTTAAAAGAATAATAACCTGATCAGTCCAACTACCACAAATATCATGGGTAAACACACCTAATCTTATTGATATTTTCTATATGTACACTAAGCTTAGGCATGAAAGCAAATGCCTCAAAAAGTGTACAATGACAAACAGTTTGTATTAAACACATNTAACACTAACTTTCTGGGCTAATTCAGCATGTTAAATACTTGTTGCTAGGGTAATATGCTGCCTAGCAACTGTTGCAATGGTTTACTTGGGTTTTTAATGTCTTAAAATAGTATAGTGATAGTTCTGATGGTTTGAAACATTATTAAAAGCCTTTTTAAATCATTTAAACTGAACAAGAAAGGTCCAATTAGCTTGTTACTAAGGTAAATCACTTCCTTAGCAACGGTTGCTAAGCAACGCTTTGAAATTTTGGGCACTGCCCTTGAAAATGATCAGCATAGTCCAAAGAACATTTGTGCCAAGTTTCATGCTTTTTCCACCTTTTGAGCAATTTTTGCACCAGTCATCTAGACTATAGTAGATGTAACTGCATGACATGTCACATTATACAATATGTGCAATGAGCTCAGTCTTGTATAAAAACACGATTGACACAAGCTGCCTTCATCCCACACACATCATGAATATATACCACAAATGGTTATCAAACACTTCTCTCCCAAATGTTTGTGATGGAAAGCATTAACATTTAATGCCTATGTCATAATTCTGTTAATGTCACTGGTCTACTAAGTCTTGAGTCATACATGTTCTGGAATTTCACACTACTGGGGACATTTAATGCAGCTTCAGAATGAATAAAATGTGTTTGTAAATAATAAATAATGATGAATAGGATATCTGAACTATAAAATCAATGATGCTCATCTTGTGCTAATTAAATAACAGTGTTTTTTAGTAATAAGTTTGATTGATAACGACAAGAAAAATATTTTTTAAAAATGAGAAATAAGACTTAATTTTTTTAGTTATGTTATTTCCATGTCTGTTTGTGTAATTTTTGCCCCAGTTTCATTTCTTGTTGACATGGACTCACACACATATCAGAGTCATTATAGGAAATAAAGGAAAAAGACACGGTCACCAATCTTGAAAATTTGCAGAAAATAGAGGAAAATAGGAAATGGTAAACAGCCCAATGTCAAGGCCATTCAGTAATTGACCTTTTTGTGACCTTTTAGTTTTATTGGATAATCCTGTTGAACCAGTCAAAACAAGTTGTTTATGGAAGGCAGCTAGTGTCAGGCTATTTAGATAGGGGTGGAGGAGGAGGGGGGGGGGGGGTCAAAAGAACTTAGCTAGATTGAAGTTGGTCATAGCTGTAGGATCAATATTGTTTTAAAGTCTGCTCTGACCATTGCTAAATCAGTGCTTAGTCTGCAAAATTACTAGTAAATATTTGGCCTATTAAAAAAAAGAAATAAATAGCTTTTGTTTTACAGCAATATTTTACTTAATGGTCGTAGACTACTGGGGATTAGTTTTGTACTAAAATGTAGCCAAGGTTCTGATCTTTGAATTAAGACTGGCTCTAGGTCTGGTTTTTAAACTAGATCCCCCATCACAGCTATCAGCTTGTTAGCATGAAACAAGATTCATGAAAAAAACTAGATTATTAGGAAAGATAATGGTCACCTAGTTTTAGATAATTATATGTGAGAGAAAAAGTACGGTGTGTAAAGTGACCTATGTTTGCGCCAGTTCACACAAGGTTTTAATGAAACTTTTATCAGGTACAATGTGAGGTGAATTTAGATGACTATAACTGAGGGTTTGATTTTGCGTCTTAATAAGATGGGTGGTATAAATAGGATTAACTTTATGTAAAGGTCCAAGCTTTCCTTAAAGTGAACATGTTTTTGGTGATGTTTAGATTGTATCCAGGTTTAAATTGAGTTTAGTGTGAACAAGTCTTTGTTAGACTGTGTACAGGTGTGAACTTAAGCTGATGTGAACTGATTTCTATTGGACTGTGTACAATTGTAAACTTAAAACTGGTGTGAACTGGTTTCTATTGGACTGTGTACAGGTGTGAACTTAAGCTGATGTGAACTGGTTTTCAGAGCCATCTCCCTGTAGTAAACAACCCTCATAAACAGCTGGTAGAACCATTATCAGAAAGAGGGATTTTCCAGTCTAATCAGCAGATTGTTAATGGCAGTTTTATTTTATGCCTGAATCTGACATGAAAAATTAAGTCATTGGTTCGTGTTCTAGACTGGATACAGCAGACAACAAGTGTGCCTGAAAACCCATTACCTGTGTTCTGCATAGCATTACACATATATATACAACAAGGCCGGCTGTTCTACTCTATCTAATATACCTCCCATGCTTGCCTTTATTTTTAGCGAGAGGTCTTGGTGCTTTCTGAACACCTTGTTACCAACCTGTTTCAGGAGAGTTTGTAGAAGGCTGGGAAGGTGGCCTCAAGCTAGAGTATTTTGTAATAGAATATATCCCAGCAGTATTTTGAAAAAAAATTACCAGGCGTGTGTAGTAGTCTTAGTAGTATTCGACCACCTTAGTAGTGTGAACTCATTGTATTAAGCCATGTGTTTTACTCAATTCAGACAGATTTTTATACTAAAACCATTTCAAGTCAACAAAACACCATTTAAATGACCTAATTAATTTATTAAATGTCTGACTCACAGTTGGATCTGGAATGGCATGTTTAGACAGGGACAGGCTCTGCCTGGTGACCCAGTGCACTTCACTTATAATACATTTCAGACCACAGGAACGGTTTTATATGAGTCCAGTCTGAAGACGGTTCTTGTCACCCTCCATTGCACTGCTTCTCCCCTAGGGATGTTGTTTGTTAGAAAAATAAGTTTGTTTTTTCTCTTGGGGCAGATCGCACCATGCTAGAGCACATTTGTTACAGTGAATTCTTGATCTATCTAACTGCAAACAGATGAGGTAGAACATGGACATGTACTGATTGCGAATGTTTTTTTCTCAGACTCTAGACTTTGAAGTATAGTGGGTTAATTTTTAGGTTTTACAATGGGTCATATCAAATTTAAAAAAAAAAAGAATAAGCTACTATTACACTTCTAAGTTTTTTTTTATAATAAAGTTGAAAATCAGTGAAAATCTAAATTTAATTCATATTTAAAGTTTGAAGTCAAGAATGGTGAATGGAGAGGCAAGAGGCTGTCAGGGGATTAGTCGGCGCTGCTTTTAAGTGAATGTTCCATATTTAGTCTGCAGAACAATGTGTTTTTTATGTCTTTTAGCCAAATATCTGGATAGTTTTAGACATATCTGGATAGTTTTAGACAAGTCACATTTTGAACTACACTGCTGGTAATGATGTATTTGGGTTCATGGAGAATATTTCCTCTTGCCTCAACCTCAGTAATTCTAAGAGTTAAATCAAGTTTTTTTAAACAAATCTGGAATACATATATGAAAAACCAGTGAGAATAGTATAAATTTAAGTAATGGAGTTGTTTCAAATTGGAGTGTGAAAGTATTGAAGCTAAAAATTGACTGAAGTTGGCACGTCCTACATTCACCCCTGGGTAAAATACATCTTTGTTTAATCTCGTCTTGCATCCTGCTCTCTATCTTGTTGCCCCCCAGGTATACAGAGAAGACATTGTATTCTAACTGGTCAAGCCCTTTTTTTAAGAAAAAAAACAAGGTCACTGACTCAGAGCTGGGCTGAATGGGTCCAGTTGTCAGTCCACAGGAGGTCAAGTGATAGAGATCTCACCCACTACCTGCATGGTCAGCTAGCCGTGAACTGTGAGCAAACTGTTGACTGATGAAGTGGTCTGACAGACTTTGGTGCAGTGGAGAGAGTGAGAATGAGTACTGACTAGTAAGTGAGAGAGTGAGGGTGTGTGAGTGAGAGAAAGAGAGGGGGGGAGAAAGAGTGACAGAGGGGAGAGGGTATTGACTTCTTGTTAAGTACATTTTACAAGAGATAATTCTTCTAGATTTATCTGAAAACCTAGATGTTTGATTTATGCCCGCCCCCCCCTCCCCCAAGCAGACCCTTCACAAAGACCTGCCTGCCTTTACCCCTTGCATTTCCAAAGTGCTTTGTTTTTCAGTGGTCATCTTGGCATCTGTTTTATAAATAGAAAATTATTATGCAAGTGACTAAAACAAACTTTTGTTCTAAATTTGGTGGCTGTCAGTCAGTTATTTTTCCCCACAACAGCTGTGTGAGCCTCGGTAACAGTTCTGATATCCTGGGGTTGTTACCCTCTATAACAGCTCTGATATCCTGGGGTTGTTACCCGCTATAACAGTTCTGATATCCTGGGGTTGTTACCCTCTGTAACAGCTCTGATATCCTGGGATTGTTACCCTCTATAACAGTTCTGATATCCTGGGATTGTTACCCTCTGTAACAGTTCTGATATCCTGGGATTGTTACCCTCTGTAACAGTTCTGATATCCTGGGGTTGTTAGCCTCTGTAACAGCTTTGATATCCTGAGGTTGTAACCTTCTGTAACAGTTCTGATATCCTGGGGTTTTTTTCATCTTAAGACCACTACTAGTAGTTGTCTTAACTATAACATTCAAATCGGATGACTTGTACCCTGGTTTGTCAGTGGTAGACTAGTAGTCCAGTTAAACAAAGTTGAGCCTCAAGGAATTCCAATTGGCTTAAGTTTAAGACACAAAGTTACTTTCATTCAATACTTAAGACTACTATGGATCTATTCTGAATTGAGTTGGACCAAGATTTTGCACTCTTAACATGAAGACCAACTTTGGGCTAGTGCTGTCTTGTGAACCTTGTCTCTAAGTACTATGTCTAAGGCAGCATTCACAACCAAAGTTGATCCACAGATTAAGTATTGTCGACCCACTTGAAAGCTTACTGCATAATCCCTGGGGGGGGGGGGGGTTATTCAGTGTCTTTTAAGGGATTATGCGGCAAGCTTTCAAGAGGGGTCAGCATATTTGGTCCACATATATTTGTTTGTCCACAGTTTAACTTGTCCTGAATACACCTAAAGATTGTTGTATGTATCTGCCCTCCCATGATCTGATGGCTCATCACAGAAATAGTACTGAGGAATTTGCTAACTCCACACACACACACACTCCCTCACACAGGCAGCAGTTGTATGGGCTTGTATATGATCAATATTTGCCCGAAATTCATTGTGCTTGTACTTTTATTGAAATGAAATAAGAGTTGGGTCAAATAGTGATGTGCATCTCAATTTTTGCTTACTTCAATAAAGTTGTTATGTTTGTGTATTATATTTATTTGCTTATTTGTTGCTCCTGTTAGTATTTCACATTAAGAAATTGAGTCTGTTTTTGCCCATTTAAGGTATTTTTTTTTCTTGTTTGGTTTCCATGGATACAGCATAAATGCTTTATTTAAATATAGATGAGGAAAGAGTCTCCCCCCCCCCCCCAAAAAAAAAGTAAGTAAAAATTAATAAGTTTTTGATACATGCCTTTTGTGATCTTTTCCTCATCAATGTGCCACCACTGAAAATATAATGAAGTTAATTTTTTTGTATATTCCATTGATGTGATTTTTTTTTTTTTTTTTTGTCACTGTTAGGTCTCCAAGGATGTGGTTGCTGAAAGTGTGTCACTTTCTCTATTCAAGATCATGACGTTTAGTGACACTCAGACAGCAAATAAATTCGTTCTCACGGTCTTTGGGGCTTGATATATATATAACAATCTCTAATTGAGAATTAGTCTACTATTAATCATTCTATACCATAAGTTCAGTTTGAAAACTTTGGCACAAGAGAAACCAGTTGTAGTCCAATTAAATGAAACATGTGGTCCATTTTCTACCAAAAAATACATGGCTTCTGTGAGCTTATTTTGAATTGAAGATTCAAGAAGTCCACAATTTTTAAGCTAAAGTATATTCCTCCTGTGTATGTACTAGTACTTATACAATGAGCCACTATAGGTCCTTAGTATACATAATGAATCATTGATATAACAGGGTGTGGTCAGGGTGGACCCAGCTCTGTGGTCAGCCAATATTTAGCACCAAGATATTAGGACATAAAGAGGTGATATGTAGTTAACACAACTAACATGGGCTTTATGTAACTCTTTTGTATCTCACTATCTCTTTACTATTTTGTATTATATTGTTCAGCAGTGGGGGGTGTAGAGTCGTCATCTTATGAGAAAGAAGTGTGAATCTTGATATTTCTTGTCACCCTGTGTTGTGTTACTAGAGAACTGTTTTTCAAAGAATAAGTGTCTGTGATTCAGTCTGTTCCCAAATATGCAGTAATTGTTAATGTGCATGTTCAGCTAAAATGATCATGTACTACTTGTTTTTCCATAATGGGTCTATGTTTACTACCCTGAGTGTCAGAGCAACGTAAAAGCTAACTAGCTTAAATATACCTTGTGATGGAGTCGCTTTAACTAGTATTATTACCGGTATTGCTGATATGGGTTATATATGAAATCAAGATCGAGCTGGCAATACCGGAATCTAGAACCTAGGGTAATGTTTACTGGATTTATCTGTTGTATTAAACAATCATGAAATATGTTAGAAATCATTAAAAACTCTGTTTTATACATATTATGATATTACTGAACAGTGTTATAGGGGTTATTTACGAAATAACATTTCAATTTCGGATCGTATAATGATGTTTTTTAGCTTTAAATGGTGCATAGTCACTTTTTTTTTCAAAGGAAATCTATGTATGAGGAAATACTTTCCCTTCCATGTGGTCTGATAGGCCAATGGAGAACACTGTTATGGGACCACAAATTGATGTACGAGGGTCGCTGTCCACCCACACACACACACACACACACACACACACACACACACATGTATACATGGCCTTGTTAATTTGTCACCTGCATACTGTAGGGGAGAGTTCACAGTGAAACTTTGCATGAGGTAGATCGATCCAAATCGGAAGTACTCTCGCTAAATGTAATTGAATTAACAATGCTGCTCATTCCACCTCAGATGATACATTGTAAATACGTCTATGTGATTGTTTTATGTTGTCTTTGGGGTCAGAAGTTTTCTGTCTAGGCTATACCAAGTTGATCCATGTGGAACCTAAATGCAAGGTGAACTGAATCTACTACTGGCTTACGGTAAAGTGCCATGAATTTCGAACGGCTCTTGAATTTCGAACGATCTTAAAATCGGCCGTCTGGAGTTTTTTCTGGACCATGAATTTCGGCCAGTCAGCAATTTTGCGCGATCTTGATTTCGTGAATTTCGTACACCTTTAAATCGGCCACCAGGCTATTCTCGCGCTTGTAAAGATCTAACAGTCGGCAATGTTGCCCTAGCGTACCTTTACCTGAGTACTACGTGTGCGGCCCAAGGTGCAAGATAACGATCAGTACAGTTAGTTTAGGACGCTAAACAACATCGTCATATCCATTGATTCAGATAACAGGAGAATCTATTAAGAGTTGTACTGTCGGGCTGTTGTTTCTTTACCGCAGTATTCGGTGTGAGATAGCGATCGGTAGTTTTGCTGAGGCGCACAATAGCATTGTTAACAGTAGAGACTTCAGTAACAGAACAAAACAGCAATATTAAGAGCTGCAATAAAGATTACCATTATTGCTTTCTTGTCTCGCTCAGATCGTTCACGATCTCCCGCTGACGAT